TTCATATAGTTTATAATTTTTTTCGTTCCCTTTGTAGCCTTTTTTCGCCCGATTGGCAGTGAACTGGTTTGCTTCAACGTCACACGCTGGCCAAAGTCGAACAACGGTGTTCAGTGACGTTTAATTGGCGCAAACCTTTATGGCAACTTAGCTGACATCTTTCAATTGACTTTTAATATTGCTTTTATTTTCAGCTAATTGTGACATTTTCTTTAAATGATGTTTTGAATTTTAGTTGATATCATAAAAGACATTTCTATCAAATGACCATGAATTTTATAATTTGAAGAACGTTTTTTTTTTTCATTCGCTTTTGATGATTCCATTCAACAGCTTAGACGCATTTCAGGGCTGACATATTGCCAAATGCTTAAATGCTTAAGTACTTGCTGCCGCTTGCATGTAAAACGCAATGACCAGTTTGCTCGGTCCATTTGCCCCGACATTTGTCACTGAAGTGACAACTACAAATAGCGGTAATTAATGAATATTGCCGACGCTTATGATTTCTATGCTTTTTTGCCTGCTTCTTCGCTTATCAAACGACAGCGCTTTAATGCCACTTGAGTGGCTATGATTACTGATAAGCCAAGAGGCAATGCCACCGCGTACCGGAGTTCTGCTGCCGATTATCTCTACACCGGTTTTGACGGAATTAAAAATTATAAAAAAAGTCGAAAAAAATTAAATCATTTACCATTCATTTGTTGGTGATGTTTACCTAAAAAAGTTAATGAGCAATTAAAAAGTAATTTGTCCGTATCAGATTACCAACACATTTATGGAATTGATGGCACTTTTTGTCAGTCACTCACGTGGAATAATTGATTTTAAAACTTATTTTTATGTCATAATTACAGTTATTTAGCGCAAATTACTAATTATTTTTCAATTACATAATTTGGTGAGTGAACCAGTATTTTAATATAAGAATATTTTTGTAAGGCATGATTTTAAAATCACATGGGTGCAACGAAATGGTGTAACTAAACCAAATCCCCGTATTGCACAATTTATTGAAGTAAATATATATTGTTATTAAATGAAAGATAATTAATTTACACCGAAATATTTTCAGTAGCAGTAACCTCATAACAGTCATGTAATTTCTAGGATATAATCGCAGAAATAATGAATACAATCTGTTTTTACTGTTTTCAACTCTTTGTTTCTCAAAAATGTATTCCTATTTTTATTGAATTCCATATTTAAGACATTGCTAGAGAAGTTGCACTTCAGCAGCACGATGTTATAGAGTTAAAGACAATTTTTCCTTTATTTAAAAATAATTTTCTAATCACTCACTAAAAGTGGAAAAGCCAAATCTCTCAGTTTAATGTAATTATGCTGAGATATTTATCAAAGAAATGTAACAGTTCTTTCCCTGGGTCCCTGGTACTTACTCTATATTAGCAGGTTGCGCTTCTTAACAAAATATATTATGATATTTTTTCTATTTACTTAAATTGAACATTTTTTCTGTTATAGTCATAGAAAATTCACATTTCACAATGAGCTTAATCGGATTAATGGCAATCGAATGTCGTCATGTATAGTGAGGATAATTCTTGATCTGTTTTGCAGATCTATGAGTTGAAGTTAATTTTACCAGTATATAAGCTATGTAAGATCCTAATCTCACTTTATTTGCATATACCATACATCCATTACATTTAGATGAGATTTAGATTTACAGATGGAGACAGGTCAACATTCCTTACATCATAGAATATATTATAGAATAATATATTTAGCATCGCCTTGATTTAGGTATATAGGGATATTTCATATTTATGTGGTACAATACTCATTTTTTATTTATATAAACTTTTTTTCCAAATACTCATTTCTAGTTTCGTAAAAGATTGCCGTATTGACAGCTGTTTCCTGAATAAAAACTTGAGTCATTTCGGATAATATGGAACCTACTCTCCTGCGATGGAGTCTTAAGCTCCTCCTTAATCCTTTATTGAACGCTAATAACTAATAAATAAACGTTATACGTGAATTTCGGCTTAAAGTTTGAAATACATGTATGTATGAAGTTCTAGATGGCGCCACTGTCCCTTCGTTAGTTGATATTTTTATTAAACATACCAAAAATTCAGAGTTCAGTGCAGGCACTCTGAAATACTTAGTATTATTTACATATATGTTATATGCACATGTATTGAAAAATATTTCAAATCTTGTTTGAATAAATTTTGTAAGTTGAAGCTTAGTGTGGCTAAGGCTAAAATAAAATATTCACAAAATCTCTCTCGTCTTTGAAATATGGTGTGCATTTTTATGCACAGAAATAGACAAGTGTATATATAAATATGGTATAGTACATATGTATGGTACAGGCATGCATTATATTATCTCAAAAGCAATCAATGATCGTTTGTCTCCCTTTTGTATGTACGAATGTATGTACATATTTTTAGCATAATCGATTCCACCGAAAACACTCTCGCTCACGTTTGACATGCCGAGTACACCACAAACATCCTATTCATTGCATTTTAATGCTTGATAGAGTTCCATGGGATTTAAATTAAATTTATGCATCATATGGAAACTTGGAAGAATTGAGCACTATTTGTATTTCTAGAAATAAGTTTTATGTTGTCTTACTAAATTTGCTTGATTTGCAAAGAAAACTTTTAAACAAGTACACTTGCAAGATAGAAGCATATGTACATATGTATGCATTTAAAATTATTTAAATCAAAGGCGTTGATTATTCTGAACATTGAAATAACTGTTATTATAGTTAAATATGTTTTGCTAAAACGATTTCTTTGAAAATCCACTTATTTCGTTGTGACAATTTAAACTTGCTTTGACATTTGATATAATATATAATATAATATTATATGTGGCTAACATAGATATAACTATTGCAACAAGGTCTACCCATGTTGTTAAAGCACTTAATGGAATAAATATTATTTCTAGTGTATTGTATCAACTCTTTTTACAAGCACTCACAGCTGAATGAATTCAGCAAATTTGTTTTGGGGAAGTGGCAAATGATATACTCCCATGTGTCATATCTATGACCCTCAAAATGTAGTCGTTTACATATGGAGAACAGTGGCGGTCGGAAATATTGCATACGTCTGTGAAAATTATACTTATTACCGCGAAGTGAGTACGCTTGACCTTCGTTTAGGTATTTATGTTATACTCGTAGCACATATCTGGTATGGCAAAATAGCCGAACTAGTTCTAAAGAAAAGTACATCACTTAGGCAAAATTCGATATTATTATAACTATAGAGAACTATACACCGATTTTAATGATGCTTCAACTTTTCCAAGCTATTTTTACAAATCTACGATTTGCCTTTAGCTTTACAAATATAGGCCTCAGCTTCAATGATTACCTTGCATTGCTATTAAATTTATTTCCAGTGAAGATTCTCTGACGGTGTAAGAGAAAAATAAGTAGCTGGAAATAAGTCGTCTGGACAATACAGTGGATGCAGAAGGAATACGAAGTCCAACTCATGCAATTTTGTTATCGGTTTATTTGAATTGAATTCATGATATCGCGACACTCACTTTGCGCAGAGTATTCGCATACCACAACATTACTGAACGACTCGCATATGTCCAAAACTACCTTTGATATCTTTCGAGTGTTAGTTTTCTTGATCAAACTCATTTTAAGGTCTACCAAAGTAATTTTGTAGATTTCTTTTTATTTTTGTCCGTAAATGCATCTTATTCATTTGGATCCGGTTCATTTAACGATTTTCTCTCGATGCTAACCTTAACAAACCTTACCTTTTTATACCCTGAACAGGTTATATAATATTAAGTTTACCAGGATGTTTATAACACCATAAAGAAACTTCAGAGACCTTATAAAGTATATATAAAAATGATCAGCGTGATGAGCTGGGTCGATTTAACCATCTCCGTCTGTCCGGCCGTCTGTGTATATATGCGAATTAGTCCCTCAGTTTTTGAGATATCAATCTAAAATCCGAGAAGCTGCTCAGTTGATGAAACGAGCGATATCGGACCATTTTAAGATATAGCTGCCATACAAACTGAACGATCGGAATAAATTAATTGTATAGACAACTTTTCCATTTTAAGAGATACTTTCAATTAATTTGGCATGGATTATTTCTTAATGCAAAACTGCAGTCTCCGATTAAATTGTTCATATCTGATCACTATATCATATAGCTGCTATACAAACTGACATTTCTTTGTGAAGGGTATTATAGCTTCAGTGCAATCGAAGTTAACGTTTTTTCGTGTTTAATATTAAATATTTTGACTGACAATATTAGCTGGGCGCTTAGGCGGTCGCTTTTGCTCACCTACTTTACAGTTGTGCAGTACAAAACTTTTCGACATTACTGTAGTCGTCAAACAGTATTACATCAAGTTTATGAAGTGAATATTAAAAGGGTGTACAATAGGGAGAGTCAAAACGAATGTTATTTTCTCTTCGCACTCTCTAAACTTAATTGATGGACACCTCTAAGAAAGGCTCTCCAAGTATGAGCTCTTAATTGTAACGTGAAGATCCTCCACCTAACGGTTTTCTATTTTTTTCTTATTAACAGAAAAAAATTCATATCTTCTATCTAATAATAAGAAAAAAATAAAAACCCGTTAAATTTTAAAGCTCATACTTTGAGAGCCTTTTCAGAGTAACATTCCAAAGAAAAAAAAAACATTATATTTTTGACCCACCTTAGTGTACACATAGTATATATGAGTACTTGTAATTTTTATTTACTTAGGTGTATGGATTGAAGCACGCCTTTAATAACATGACACTCAAAAGGTATCCAATAAAAGAATATTTTTTCTGCAAACAAATTGTTGAAGAGCCTTTGTGTTTGTCCTGAGTATTAAAAAATGTGATAAATTAATTTTAAAATGTTTTAAACTAAATGCTAGACTAATGTATTACAAGCATAGAGCAGTTTACCAACTCAATAGGCAATGAATATTTATAATTGTATATTGGTTCAACTCTCTTACAGCTTCATAAAACGCCTTAGTTAGGATTGGAGGTCCAGCGGAATTAATACACATTTGTTTTAGTGAAGTCAATAGAAGCGAAAACCTGTGTGAAAAATGTCCACAACCACAGAAGTATCCACAACAGCGATAGATTCCACTACGCCGTTCGCCGGCAGCAGTAATGGAGATCTACTAGCGTCGCCAGCATTAAATAGCGAAGAGTTCAACAATCTAACATACGATGATGAAAACGGAATATTCACACATCCCACATTAACAGAATACTACAATAGTGAGTAGTGCTAATATTTCTCTAACTAAAAAATAATTTTTTTCTCTTTCTCCCGTAGATCTCACTCCTTTCGTCACACTATGCATATTTGTCTCCGTCTTAACATTTATGCTCACCATTTCCATTTTTCTCACGACTTTGGCTAAACTTCGGCAACGTCTACGCAAGCCACTGCTCATTCCTTCTATAGCACTCGTGTCCTTGTACCCGCTCATCAGTCTTGCAGCGTTGCTCACACTACTCTTTCCGAAGCTATGGTTCACCTTTCACACTGTGATGCATCTTTCGTTTACGGTCGGCGCCGTCTTCTTCTATCAACTCTGTGGTCATTTTATTGGTTCTGAAACCAGCTTTATTAAAGAGACAGCGGGCATGGCTGTACCGATTAAGACGCCTCCATGTTGTTGCTGTTGCATATGTTTACAAGGCGTGACGCCCACAAGGGGGCGATTTGTGGTATTGCGGTGTCTCGTGTATCAAATGCCATTCGTACAAGGCAGCATAATGTTGGTATTGAATGGTATCTTCTATAATGATATGGTGAGTAACATGAACGTATATCGATTAAATACATATATACATATGTATGTAGTGGGATTGGGTTAACTCTACTTATATATAAGATTCATAGTCGGGGTTGCCTTTTATATTTCGGGATTAGACAAATATTAATAACCGAAAATCGTTTATTGCTTTTTAAATCCACTTCAATCTGTGTTTGAACCAATTGTCACGCACTTTTTCCACTCTGATTGAGGTATGTCCAAACCATCCGTTCTGAACGCATCAACCGCCTCTTTAGGTGTCGAAAAACGTTGACCTCTAAGTTTAATTTTTTACGTATGTGACTAAAAGTCATTTGGTGCCAAATAATGAATGTACGGTGGATGACTCCTCAAAACGATGTTTTGAGTTTTAGTCTATGTGTGAGAACTGGCTTTGACGTGGTAAAGAGTTACGCATCTTCGGCGGTTGGTTTCTTGAAAGACAACTGACAAACAAATGAATGTGTACCACTCCGAATATACTGTTCTGCGTTGTTCTAGTGGTATGATTGCAACATGTCCAGCTTTTCCAAAAAAACAGGGAACCATTTGCTTGAAAGTGCTTTGTGCTTTTGTTGGATTCGGCTCATCTAGAAACAACCATTCAGTCGACTGCTGTTTCCTTTCAGGCTCATACGTGGAAATCTCCCACTCATCACCTGTCACGATATCATAAACGTGTTTCGAAGCACCGCTATCGTATCTTTTAACATTTCTCTCGACGAACCACACAATTTCTGCGATTGACAAATTGTGTGGAATTTAACGTGAACAAATTTTATTTCAAATTTTTATGCCATATTACATGTATGCTGGTCCCACTCAAGCCTATAGTTGTCTCAATCTCACTATAGGTCACATGACGATCTTGCAATATCAGTTTGAACACGGCGTCAATAGATTCCGGTCCACAACGGTTTTTGGACGACCTTAACGAAATTCGTCTTGGAGTGATCTACGACCTGTATGGAATTCACTATACCATCGATACACACGGGTAATTAATGGATCTTCATCGCTACAAATTTATTTAAGTTCATCGATGCACTGTTGTTGAATTAATCCTCGTGAAAAGTTTTCAGAAATAATCGTACGAAAATGCTCGCGTTTTAATTCCATTGTGTGCCCGAAATGAATATTTTATGTTACTGTAAACAACACAATAGCGCTTCTATGTCAAAACATTCTAAGTATGTATTGTATTAATCCAAAAATTTCAATTTTTAATTTTTAATAAAGCTGCGAATTGCCCGATTGCAACCGAAATAGAAAAGGCAAGCTACGTAATATGGGCAATTTAAAAATTACACTTACTATCACTATTCTCATAAATCCACTAGTTAGGCACAACAATAAATTTAAAGACTAAAAACCTAGCTCGAATATAGCCAAATCTTGGAACTTACTTAGTTTTTTGTAAAATTTAAGTTGAGCATCGAGTCCAAAAAGTATATTTTTTTTTGCAATATAATTTAGTTCATATACTTTCCTCTGCTGCTTCTACCGCTATGTGACCAGCCTTAGTTAAAGTATCGGCTCTCTTTCTCTCGACTTACATCCCGAAGTCATGATTTGTAATGTTGATAGAACACTGAGTAAATTAATCATTAATAGAAGAGCGCTCTGAGGAAAATGATGCATTTCTAAGAAAACTCCCAACGATGTCATTAGTTTCTCCATCAAGGAAACATTTGAAACTTTCAAATCTATTTTTAAATTGTTTATAATTCGGAGTCGGGTTGGGGCTATATATGTATATGTATATGTACTTAAATTAAGTTCATTAAATAAACTATTCTAAATGAGAAGCGTGAAAATTTGAAGCAAAAAGTGTATAAACGAAAAAAAAAATAACACGATTATTATAAAACTAGTGGTTATAGCTAAATTACCAAAAAACGAGGTAATCATGCATACGTATGGTCCATAAAAATATAGTATTTAACTTACTTGTTATTAGGATTATAGTAAAATCCTATCTATGGTACAGAGCAATTAGAACTAGTAAAAACAGGCGCCACACCAATTGTTTGTTGTAGTAATTGTCTATCGCCAACAATTTAGGTAAATAATGCCGAAACCCAACAACAGCCACTAGCAATGCTGTAAATAAAAAAACAAATATGTTCATTAGACTATTTAAATAATCCACAACAACGTGTATCATTATTCTAACAATAACTGTTATTATTGGTCCTGCAAAAACAACAAAAAAGTGTTTTTGGTAGATGAGCATATAAAAGGCATTTGACAGCGAGGATGATGTAGCCTCGGTGGCGCAGTAGGCAGCGCGTAAGTCTCATAATCTTAAGGTCGTGAGTTCGAGCCTCACCCGGGGCAGTAATTTTTTTTCGATTTTATTGGAAATATAATATATAATATTATTCTACAATAATATTTTTAACTACATAAGACTTGTTGAATGTTATTTACATTTTTCAATTCCAGGCATTATTCCACGATGTACAATACTATTTTCTACCATTCATCATTTCCTCTATTATACTCGGTTCATGGGGTCTAAATATACTAGTGCGTGTGGTGAATAATTTACATTCGGATTACAGTACAACGGTAAGTTAAGTTTTTGATGATTAAATTATATTTTCAAATGTAATAAATAACTGTAATTTTATTATTATTGCTGTTTAGAAAAAAATGTTCGCGCTACAGCTGATTTTGTTGCTATGCAAGATGCAGTATCTCATATTGGACAAGCAGTTGGACAAATTATTACTGGGAGGCGACTACCCGATGAATCATATTATCTATAAGCAGTGTAAGTTTTAACAATTTGGAAATCATTACAAAATATATACATGCATACATGTATTATTAGAATACTATCTAATCATTACTATTCCTGCTTCCTTTTGCAGCCATCATTAACAGTTTGGTCTTGGTGGAAATGGTTTTGGTGTCTCTATTCGCTCAGAGCGCTTACAGAATTCCAGTTATAGTCGATGATAATTGAAGACATGCTGCTTAAACTAAATACTTAACTTTATAATTAATTACTAAAGTGATGTACTTAAATACGTACCTTATTAGTATAGTTTTTATTTTGTGAAAGTAGTCTTAATGTTATTAAATGTAAGTTCTAGTTAATGTTTAGTAAATTGTTACAGGCCAGGTAGCTTAAAAGTTAAATTTTAGCACGAATTTTTTGAAATAATAATTAACAAATTTCAGCACCATTAATTATATAAATGATAATGAAAAAAAATGTGATAAATAAATAATTTCAATACATTGTAATCTAAAATTAATTAGAACTTTTTATAAACATACTTAGATATTTAAATAGTGCATAATATATTAGAGTGAAACAAATTAAATAAATCTATAATTATCCATATACATACATAGCGTCTTACTCAAAAATATTTAAAAAAAAGAGGTAACTTTTGAAATATTATGAGAAATCGTATTTACGGTGCAAACTGTCTCCTAGGTGGCTCAAAACAGCAATTATTGGTAAACCAAATATTATATATATGTACATAAATATGTAAATATCAATTACTTAATCAGAAAGAATCTCCTTTTCAGTACTTTTTTTTATAAATTATTCAAATAAAGAGTAGAGTTTGTTAAAGTCGTAATTTTATGAAAAAAATTAACAGTTCAAAGGAATAAATTATCAAAAGCACTGTATAATAATTGACTGTGTATTGCAATCGTTTTCGACAGATTGAGTCCCAAATAAAAAAGAAAATATTTAACTTCAAATTCGAAATTGACTTTTTTGAAAACATCATTATTAATTACAGTATTTAAGGTTCCACGAAATTAAAAAATATTGTACCATCAACGAGATTGAGAGGTTTCAATTGTGTATAACAGTTTTCTAATATTATATCACAGGTGCTATAAGAGCTTAAAAAATACTTGCTCACTTAAAACCTTATAATATCTGCCATATATGTTATATTTTCATGTCATGTTTTTTTTTGGCATTTTATTGATTGTTAAAAAGCAATTAATCTTTGTTTTTGGGTTTAAATTCTAAAATTACTCAATTTTCAAAACAAAAAAAAAAAACATTTGCAGTTATTGACATTACAACACTCTTTAAGAAAAATTAATACTTTGTATGAGTAGTCTTTAACTTGCAGTCTTCAATGAGATTGAGGTCTAAACTCTGGTGCAGATCCGGCTGCACTATTTTCACGTTGTATAACAACCATTCCTTAACCACTAAAGCAAAATGCTATGGGTTGTTATCCTCAACATAGCAGTAATCACCATTTATATTGAGTCTAGCTGCTGAGCCTATTCTTTTCATAATTGCTTTGATGGAAACAAGGTTATTGACGCGTAAACGTGTTAAATGAAATCCCTTTTTTCTTCGGTTAAGTTTGAAACACTCATAAAAGTAATAAAAAAGTGTTTACCTTCTGATACCAATCCATAATAAGCTTCACTTTTTTCTCAGTGTACCCATTTCCATTTAAAAATATGAAAATTTTAATAACCTTAGTGTATCTTACGCACACAATCTTAAGTTATATGTATGTACTCGTATTTTAAATGTATTATAACTGTGAAGAAATGTTCATGGAATTTTAAAGGAATACTTCATTAATTGATTAACCCTCTACTTCAAGTTAGCTTCTTAAGTACGAATTTGTGCAGAATTGCTTAGATATTAAATACAAAGGGTGCTTTTGAAGACATGTAAATTTTTATTTCAAATAATATAATATAATATGGGCAAGCTATCAACTTGTTTGACATCTTTGTTGCAAGAAATTTTCAAACACAAAAAAAAATCTTTTATATTTGGAAAAATTAATCAAAATTTCCACTTGTAATTTAAATGTAATTTATAAATACACATTTCAATAAGTGAAATGTCTTTTCAAAGAATGCCCAATGTTAGCACTCAAATTGTTATAGATGAACAAATAAAAAATTATAATAAGCTAGAGAATCTAATCTGCATTTCTTTTGTCGATTTAATGTGGAAAGCTATAAAATAATGAGTTATCTTTTAAAGCATATTCGCACATGCATAAAAAACCAACTAAATTCTATATCACTTTCATAAACAAATTAAATTGCTTCACACTCGGCTGAGAATGAACATACAATTCGGTTGAGAGAGCATTTAAAAACATGCACTAAACCAAACGAATCAGGCTAATTATTAGAGTGAAAATTATATCGCGGAAAAACTTTTTTTACGAGAGAGTTTTGTTAGCGATCACTGCACTAAAAATAATAATTTTTAGAACACTTAATCCGATAAAATTGTATAAAAAAGTTTTTTAAAATAATTTTGGAAAATAGTACAACTAAATTTAAAAAATCGCGACTCGGTAAATAAGTAAGCAGATTTTGTTATAAATTAATATATATTAAATATTATTTTCAACAAAAATGTTTTCTGCCACCCTCCCATTGATAATATTCTCTTTACTACATATTTTTCAAATAACCACCATGATCCTTTTGGTTTATTGGGTATACAAATCAACAATTCAAGTAATTTGCTGTTCATATCAAATATTTAGTTCCGCTTGCCTGCTTTTAGGCGCCCAAATGAATTTAAATGCTTCTCTGCGCACACAAAGACACTAATGACCTATTTTGCGCGGGAATTTTAAGTGGAAATGGAATTTTCAATCAATAAATCAAAGAGGGGATAAGCCCTAAAATGAGCAAGAATATGCACGCATAGTTGTTGATATACTACAGACACACCCATGCATAAGTTATTACACATATACATATACACATGTATTTAGTGGCGTGAATGGGATTGAAAATGCGTATTTGTTGCGAAAGCGATCGCTGGTTCGTTAAACACTTCTGGTTAAATAAGCAAAGGACCTATGCATGTGTGGCGGAGTATCAAGAAGGCTGAAAATCATTCAATTACTGAATTAAAAAAAAAACGATGCAGGATTTTAGATTGTTATAAATAAAAATATGAGGGGATTGCCATATATTAGAAAAGCATAAAATATATGAAAAATATAATGAAATATTTCAAAAACTTTAGGGCCGATAGAAAAATCTATCGACTGAAACGAAAACATGTCATACAACAAATTTCGTCAGGCTTCCAGGGTAGGTATTAATAAAATTTCGGTAAAATACAAGGAAAACCGTAGTTTTAAGTATATACATATATATTTGTGGAACTATTAAAAAAATTGGTTTTGTATACCCGCTGAAGTCGTCGCCGATTGTGCCGTTCTTCCTTCCAAAGGCAACATAACAACAGTTTGGATTTTTTGTTTTGCGTGTCTCATGATTGCACCAACAGATAATAAGTCTTTAACTATTTATATCAAATTTTACAATCCGACTCAAATTATTAAGTGAAAAAAGTTTATGATCTTTTTTGAATTGATTTAATTACTTTTGATACTACTGAACACATTTATAAAGTTTGTTTTTGTTTTATGGGGAGTAAAACTACTCCTTTTGGAAGAGTGTAGTCTAGCTTTGCTGCCGTTTCAAATGAGCTAAGCTCAATTTTTTTCTTTCATAGCAGGACTAACACTAAAATGCAACCCTTTTGAACGATTGGACACATAAATATACGCCCTCACCGCCAACTGTAAAGACGATATAAGATCGATGTTATGAACAAACAATCCACGTTTATGTCAAATGAACAAGCTGTCTGGATAACAGTAAAGCTAGAGGAAATGTGAATATGCTCGTAAATAGAAGAAGGCTGAGTTCGCTAAGAATACTTCGAGTAGCGTTCAAGCACTTTCAAACCTTACCGAATAACTCTGCTTTGCCTTTCCGATGTTATTTATTTTCTGGTGAATGTTTTCAAAGCAACTCTTATTTATGTGGCTCATGGTTGGCGGACGGACCATTCATTCGATTTTATGTTGTTTTGTGTTATGCTCCAGTATGCTGCAGCCAGGGAAAATAAAATCCGATATGGCTAAGAATAAGATTGTGTGCGCAAACAATCGCCTAAACATTTATATGCGGCGAGGATAAAATGCGGATTGCAATAAACTTGAATGCGACCAAATAAATCATAAATTTTTACGCAAACTCAATTTAGATCAACGTTCTTGTTTAAGTGCAGATATATATGAATACTAATTTCGTTAGTCGAAAATGAGTTACAGTCATACATATTAGTATATAAGGAAGGAACATCGACATTGTTACGCTCCTTTCTTTCAGCTAAAAATATTTGTATTCTGCGTTTGCTTTTGCTATTGTTTTCGAGTATATTTATTATTAAGATATCAGCGCTTTTATCAGCTTCTTTATCTTTCTATAGTAAAAGTATTGAGCGCTATAACAGGGTGTAAGCTTGTACATTTGTTTTCGACTTGCCTCATCAATAATTGTTTTGAAGGTGTGAGCCTATTTAAGGTCTCTCTGCATATCTTATTTGAGTGTAGAAATGTGTTATTGAAATTCCAGCAGGTTTTATAAGAAAATACAAGGAAGTGCCGATGCTGCTTTGGCTAAATTTTAAAAGCGAAGGAAAATGTTGATTCACCATTATAGTCATAACACCATTAAAATTGGCCTTCCTAATTTCATTCACATAATAAAGTCAAAAGAGGAAATATTGGCATATGAGGGCTAAAAAATTATGAACCGATCAAATGTTTCTACTAAGATATGTTGAACAAGCTTTAATTATTTAGGGGATACCGCTAATGACCACGCCCATCTTCTATATTACGAATATATTCCAAGTAACTAAATTAATTACAAACTGTGCTATGAAATCTAAGAAATATCACTAGAAAAACTGAACCAATGGAGTGCTAAATGATACCGTCGTCTTCCGAATCGATCAGTTTTTATAATTGATTGAAGATAAATCTATCGAAACAAATCTTCGCACAAATAGTAAATTCACTTGTGACAATGATTATTTAGTTTAGTATCATAATGATTTTCGACCGTAAATTTCGTAAGGTGCTTCAAATATAGACAATTCCATAGAAAAACTAATTTATATCTGCTTATGTCGGTCCACTATATCATATACAAACAAATTGAGCGATCAAAATCAAGTTCTTGTAGGTAAACTTCTTTATTTTTGTAGGGTATTCTACCTTTGGTGATGTCGAAGTTAAGGTTTCTTCTTGTTTTTATTTTTATTAAATCAAACTGACTACACTTAACAATTCTAAGGAAAAATAACTCAATTTAAATGACTAAGTATCAGGATTGACGATAAATGAATTCCACGCAAGTCGAAAATAAGCAAACACCTCTCTCGTTCAGCAATTAATTTTCGCAATTAAACTTTAAGCGGAAGTATTTGAAGTAAATTACTACTAATTTAGATGACCGAACATTCACAATCAAACTGCAAGTGAATTGTGGCAATGCGAAAGCATTCCGTGCAACCTCAGTGACAAGCCACCAATCAATCAAGGCAACCGCCGAAGAACTCAGCCTCCGCATGAGAGCCGACATGCCAATGGGACTAGCGCCGGCCAAGTGGCAAATAACCGCACGATGAAGCCGCAAATTGTGCAACGTACACACACACAAACGCAGGAGCAGCGAACAGCTGCTGCCGGCTATGTATGTGGCAAGCAGTGGCAAGCCTTTATACATGGCCGAGCAATGTTCTAATGACAACGGTATGCTCAAAGGCCCTGACCACTGGCTGGCTCGGTATGCAACGGGAAAATATTATTAAATGCTTTTACTAGCTTATGTATATATGTTATACATATACCTATGTGAGCT